TGAAGCAATTCCACTAAAATCAGGGACTAGACAAGGCTGCCCACTCTCTCCCTACCTATTCAATATAGTACTCAAAGTCCTAGCCAATGCAGTTAGACAACAAAAGGAGATCAAAGGAATACAAATTGGGAAGGAAGAAGTCAAAATATCACTATTAGCAGATGATATGATAGTACCCAACCCAGATAGGGAACAGACTATAGACCAAAGTACAGATAACACCAAAGTCCAATTTGGTGAGCTAAAGAATTTTAGGAGGTTACTTACAGGAACAGAAATGACTCAAAGACAGCTGTATCACCAATGCCCACCAGAGGATGAGTGACAGAGAGCTCACAAAACTGAGAACCTGCAGCACATTGCACAGCCTGCCAGCAACTCAACAGGTTGGAAGAGTACCCTTTACCGGTGCCTTGGTTAGTCTAAACCCCTTCCAGGAAGCTCGACTGCTTTCTACTTCTTCCAGGCAGCTAATCTGGTCTCATCATCTTTGCAGGTCAGCTTGTCTGAGAGTCTTCTGGGCAGTGTAGCTCTACTAAAAGTCTTCTTTGCAGCATGACTCTGCTTCCTATGGCATAGAGGGACCCAGTGAATATTGTCAGTTTCAAAGACTTCTTGAAGCTATATTTTGAGTTATTTATCTTCTTGTTTAAGGAGCTTCCTTGCAGGATGGAATGTTTTAATCTCAGAGGAAACTGTTACACAGAAGCCCACCCTTCCCTCCAGATATTACAGTCTTTCTGCCCCCTCTTCTGCAATAATCTCCAAGTCTTGGAAGGGTTGACTATAGATGTCCCCCTGTGGCTAAGAATATGCCATCATGCCACAGTGACAGTCACTTGTTCTCAGGAGCTTTACCATGGTTATGAGTTGGGTCTGCTCTCAGTGACCTATGAACATAAACACACGTTCAGAAGACATTTGGCAGACGCATCAGATCCATCTAGAAAACTAGATATATGTTGCTTCCCTATTGTAACCTATGACCTCCTCAGCCACAGGTTTTAGTCCTGGATTACAGTAACAGGCATGAACTCTCTTTTGTGGAGTGGGCCTTAAATCCAACTGGAAACCTGTTGATCTTTCCTATGATAGCTGAGCCATTATTAGATAAGCAGATAAATCCTGCTTAGTGTGTGGTTATTTCAGCAAGCAGGGTCCATAGCCAAGCAGGAATGTTGGTGACAGATCTCCACTAACAACCTGCATAGTGCCCCTTCTGGCAATATGAAATCTGGCACTATGCTTTCCCAATCATCATACCTGCCTATTGGAGAAGTTCTTGACTTGGCAAACCATCTCCTCCCCCTCCACCACCACCTCCATATAACCTTTTGCTGGAAGGAAACAAGCCCTCCGTGATGGGTTAAGGAGGAACTAGTGAACCTGATCTTCCTGAAGCTATTTTGAGTGCTTTAACTTCTTGTTTAAAGAGTGTCTGTACAGAATGGAATATTTCAATCTCAGAGGAAACTGGTACACCATATCCTATCAGGCTCTCATCCTCTTCAACCTGCCAATATCACACCGTAAAGATACAAGAGGAGTGGGGATAGTCCATAAGGAGAGATAGTGTTCGTCCAGACAGAGCTGATTTTGTCCATACTCCACAGTTCATTACAGTTTTGGACACTGAAACTTCCTAAGGGCCTATTCACAAGATTGATGGGCACTCACAATCCCCTTCTCTACTCTCTGTTTCTTTCACACATGAGACATTGGCCAGGACTCAGGCTGAAGTCTTAGAGCTTCCACTGTAATATGACCATTCATCATCCCATCCAGGCCAAAGGGAAGAAGCTTCCTTCTTTCTCTTTTGTCTCCCACTAGGAGCAAGGAGGAATATGTCCTTCCACCTCAGAGCAGAGGCTGACTGGTACTCCTTAATGGATCCTTCCAAATCATCTGATTCTCATGGTTTTGAGAACAAATTAATCCTTAAATTTTTTTTGTTCACCCTTGTAAATGCTTAAAAGGTTCTTATTAAGACTAGAGATGACAAAAAATCAAGAAACACTCATTGTTTTTCTGTTATTTGTGTCTACCATTTTGGCTCTCTATGGCATCCACGAAACTTCCTAGGATCTTTCAAGGTCACACATGGTACAGAAGGACATTGAATAGAAGTGGGGTTTCCACAGAGAAGAAGGAGGAGGGGTGAGGGGATTGGAGGTTCCTGGGTGGGTGGGGGATGGGGTAAGGGGACAGCATATGAAATGTAAATAAAACATCCAATAAAAAATTTAAAAAAAAAGAAGTGTGGTTTCCATAGTTCCAAAGCCCATAGCACCCAATGATTTATATAGATATAGAAGTGAACATGCTTTTCATGCTTTTCATGGAAGTCCTCAGGACATTAACTGATCATATAGGCTATCCAAGCCCCCTGAATCAACTGCCATGTTCTGAGCTCTCACATGTAACAAAAGAGATACAAGAGAGGCATAAGCAGCTTAGGAGAGCAGAGCTAGAGTCAGAGAGGAGTTCTTTCCTAAGGTCCTAAAACCCAAGTCAACTAGAGAGGCAGGGGACTGAAACACCTGATATACCAAGGAGGCTTTTATGATAAAACTATATATTCACACAATCTTTGAAACAAATATGATTAAATTTTAAAAATCAAATCAGGCCCATTGCTCACTGTTTGACAGGAAAATGAGAAACAAGCAATGGAGCTGATAAGATAAAATGGATATTGCTTGTTTTTTGTTTTTGTTTTTTTGGAGGGCTTTAGGGATTTTTTGTTGGTTTTTTTTTTTTCGTTTTTGGTGTTTGGGTTTTTTTGGTTTTGTTTTTGTTTGTTTTTTGGGTGTTTTTTTTTTTTTTTGGTTACCCCAGGCAGAGCCAATCTGCAACCAAGAATGACTTTGAAGTTATAATCTTTCTGCCTCATCTCATGAGTGCTTAGATTTTTTTTTTAATAATTTATTTTTTCTCAAATCGTAATTCATTCACACAGGGGTTATAAACACAGAAAGGCAGGATGTGGGGAAGGGGATGACACTGGAGTGTGGGTGTTCAGGGGGAATACGAATATCTTTCAGAACAGGGTATTTATACTGAAACATTTTGCCACTTCATGCAATTTAGGTGTTGTAAAAAATATTTCATCTCAATCCAGGATTTCTACACTGCCTTTGAATATTCAGTTCCCGAATAAAAGGCACAAACAAACTTTATATTTATAATAAGCCTTAATCAGCACTAGAGCTGGGCAGATATCTAGATATCTAGCAGATACCAGCCTTTATGCTATTATGTCTATTTCCATGCAAATAACCCCACTATACGATTTGCCATGTTTTGTCTGGGCTGCTCTTAACTCCAATTACTCAGCCCTCATGGCCATTATTTTAAGAGTCTTCCCCATGGTGTCTCCTCTCTCCATCTTTCTTTCTTTCCTCATGGTCTCTTCAGACCCCTAACCCCAAAACTCCAAACCCTGTCTATGTCTTTTGTGCCCAACTATTGGCTGTCAGTGTCTTTATTTAACCAATAGTTTTAAATTACAGAGCAAGGTCACACTGTACCTGCAGATTCTCTCCTTCTTGGGAGCACCAGGCCTTGGGGGCCACTACTTAGCATTACAATACAAGCAGCATCATATCACTACATTTGGGGGTCTCTAATCCAGGTTTTTATGAATGCTACACAAGGACTTGGTAAAATAGGCTACATCCTAAGCCCAGTAATGAGAGTCTTCATAATTATAGCTCAAAGATAGAAAAATATTCTTCGGGCCCCAGACACCTTGCCAAAAGGGTAAGTTTATACGGTAAAATTAATTAATTAATTAAAAAATCAGGAAGTGTACAAGTACAGATTTAGTGATGAGGTAGTTATCAGAAATGTGAGGTAAGTCTTATCCTGGGAGAACACCAGCACCAGGGCTCCAGAATATTCCCACCCCAAACAAAGAAATACCTGGACCCATAATAGTACTTTAGGGACGCTAAAGACGCTTTAAGAGAACCTGTTGAGAAAAGGTGGCTGCCCTGGGATCAGACTAGCCACATGCCAGTGAAGGGGCTGCTTGACTGACAGCTCTGGGATCGAGATCAAGACATAAAAGCCTGCTCTTGACCTTTCAGAGAAGACATTAGGGGTGTGTGTGTGTGTGTGTGTGTGTGTGTGTGTGTGTGTGTGTGCGCGCGCGCGCGCGCTCTCAAGACAAATGTGAGGCAGCTCAGCATAGGTATGAAAAGTCCCACAGCTTTTACCAGCACTTTTCAGCGCTTGACAGTATTACTAAAGTCCTATGGCCCATCACCGCTACTACTTACCTCCTTTCCGTGAGCAGCAGACTTGGCGAAGGTGAGCCCTCTGATCTGTCTGCTGAGCCAGGAGGCTCTGCAATTCTGCCCAAGCTCCAGTAAAGGCAGATCGTGGTAGCATGATATACTATGTGTGCTTCACTTTCTGTGAAGCCCAAAGGAAGGGCCTCACAGATAAACACATTAGCTTAATATCCAGTCTGTGCCAAGGACCAGGAACACAATGTGGAGAACTCGACCAAGAGATATTATCCACACATTTCTGCAAGGCCTCCAGAGCTACTGGGGGATCTTTTCTGACTCCCCCCATACGGGTTCCGGTAGTTGACTGCCGTCCCTTCCCTAGGAAGATAATTAAGCAAGGCCAGAGGACTCAGCTGAGATGCAAAGTAGAAATCCCTTCTATACCCTACTTGCCCAAGGGCCATGGTTTCCTTCAAATAATTCTTGCTCAAGTAATTTCCAAACTGCTCTCAGTTTTGCAGATCAGAGTTTGCTCTCAGTTTTGCAGGTCAGAGTTCAGCCCGAAGCAACAGAAGAGCAACCAGAAGCCAGGACACACTACCATAACTGGATACATGCTAATGTAGACTATATGGGGCCTGTTGGTGCGAAAGAGAACCGTTGGTGGTTTAGAAGCTCTACTTCCGGAATTGCTGGCGGGAGGTGGGGGGGAGCTTTAACAGCAAATAGCACACGGCAAGCGACTTCCAACGCTTTATGGACATGGAGCGTCCAAACATCGATTACGTGCTTCGTATGAGACCTGAGGAAGATGAGGAAAATGTGACTGGTCAGTGAGTGACGGGAATGGTGGGTAGGCGATGTCCACGAGGGGAGGAGTGTCCCATACGGAGACTGAGCAGGCCGCGCAGTGTGCCACAGGCTTTACCGTGAGGTGACTCCATGGCACCTCAGCACCAGCCTAGGCCCTGACGCCTGGTTTTTTTCCCTTTCCCCACTTAAGGTACGAAGGCACTGACGCTCTTGCAAGCTGGAGAGGGAAGAAATGAGGAAGAGAGCAGACAGAGCCAGCCTGGGTCTGCAGCTGCGGAAGGGGAAGGTACAGAAGAATTAAGTGGAGAAGGTGGGTCTGCGGCTGGCGATGCAGGCCTCATGGATAACAGGAACCAAGAGGACAGTGGTGCCACTGGCTATGACCAGGAGAATGAGAAGCAGCCAGAGGAGCCAGTCCCCGATTGCATGGAGGATTTGGAAAATGTAATCCTGTGCCAGGGCAGTGGTCCTCTGTCAATCCTGTGAGAGTGTTGGTGCCTGAATGCCGCCCCCATCAGCAACACAGGTTCACCCTGCTGCAGCTACAAGAGCTAGAGAGCATCTTCCAGAGAAATCACTACATCAGCGCTACGGAAGCGTAAGTAGATTGCCTAGCTTGCTTCAGTTTGTTCGGGAAATGGAGTACACAGAGAGCTTCTCCTCCCTCCTGGTCCTCTCCTTGTCTGCCTTTTATTTTTAGATGCACTTCTTTAATTTGTTTTATTTAAGACCTCTCGTGTGTGTGTGTGTGTGTGTGTGTGTGTGTGTGTGTGTTTTCACATGTTGTACTTGTGTGTGCATGTTCACAAGACTGTACATCTGGAGGCTAGATGACAACTTATGGGAGTGGTTGACTTGTGTCTTTGCTTACATCATGTGGGCCCTGGGTTTTGAACTCAGGCAAGCAGGCAAGCACCTTTTCCTCTGAACCATTTTGCTATGGTAGTGAGTGCCAAGCTAGCCTCAGCTGCAGAGTGGAAGTCTATCTTTAAAATATTAAAATAAACAAATAAAACAAAAACAAAACAACAACAACAGAAACCAGACTGAATGAGAACGAGGTGGTGTAAGTCTGTAATCCCCTTACTTGGCCGGTAGATCAGTAGTTCAAAGTTATCTCAGTTAGGCTCCAATGCCAGCCCCTTTGACATTAGGCCATTTGTGTCGTGATTGAAGGCTTATTCCACCATAGGTGTTTTGTTTGTTTGTTTGTTTGTTTTTCTGGCAGGGGTGGAGGTATGTACAGAGGTCCTCTTCTGATTTCTGATCCCAGATCTCACTGTGTAGCATGGCTTCCCTGGAACTTTCAGGGAGCTCATGCCTCAGCTTTCCATCATGCTTGGAATCCAGGAGTGGGCGGTCAGTGCTGTGAGGCTTTCTAATACTCACTTCGTGTCTGTTATGACTTTAATAGTTCTTTACCTGCAGTGGAAGATGGCTCAGCAGGTAAAGGCATTTGCTATGAGAACCTGAGGTCCACTCTGAGGACACACATAGAAGACGACGACCTCTCTGCATGTGCACCAGGGACACACACACACATTGAAAAAAATACATTTAAAAAAGAAGTGTGGTATTTCATTTGTCTGATAATCAGCAGATTGGAGTACCTTGTGGTTAATTGATTATTAAAAATTTTTGGACGCGTTCCGTTAAGCTTCTTTATTGGATCTTCCTTTTATCCTGACAAATACTTCGTGCAGGTTTTTTCCTGTTGACATTTGTTTTGTAGTTTTTGCCTTGTTTTGTTTGAGGTAGCGTCTCCTGTACCACTGTCACCAGCGTTAGGAGCATTTCTTTTGAGGTTTTTACTGTCTTCATTAGTGCTTTTTAAATTGCTTATTACAGACCTGCTGGGGTTTTCATATTAATGGTAGCTTGGCAATAAAATAATATTACCTGTGGCATTTTCTCTAAGCATCTCAAAATTCTCAAGGTGAATATCAGAGAAGGTAAGGAATGAGACAAACCTTTGAAAACAATGATAAAATATCCTTCTCCTATTTTTTCATTTCACATATCCATAATTCCAAATGCTGAATGTCTTCCATTTTTACCTTTAGCAAACGTCTGGCAAGATCCATGGGTGTGAGTGAAGCCAGAGTGCAGGTGAGTCCTCACAGAAAAGCCATTCCATAGGACAGCCATTCTAGAACTTACTTTATCTGTAGGTCCTTTTGGTTCTCTGTGTTGCCTTTGATAACTTTTACAAACCATGTTTCTAAATGTCTTTTTCAAGATTTATCTCTAGTTTTTTAATGTGTGTTTTGGCACATGTGCATGTGTACACACATGCATGCCATATGTGTGTGGCTGCTCAAGGAAGCCAGGAGAGGGCATATGTTTCATGGAGCTGGAAGTACACATATTTATAGGCAGCCCAAATAGGTCCTAGGAGGTAAACTCAAGTCCTCTACAGGCATTAACCACTAAACCATCACTTGAAACCAACCAAAAATGGCTTTTGAGATTTGTGGTCCTTATGAGTAGAAAATGGAATAAGAAAGAAATGTCTTTTAACTCAGAACTTGGAAGGCAGAGGCGAGTAGACCTCTGTGAGTTTGAGGCCAGCCTGGTCTATAGAGTTCCAGGACAGTCAGGACTACACAGAGAAATCTTGTCTCGAAAAAACAAAAATGGTCTAAAAGTAACCAGACAGAGCACAATAAAATTCAGACAGGGCTACTAATCAGGAATGGCTCATTTCCAGAAGACACATAACATCCTAAGGAACAAAGAATTGTACCGACCTTATTTTCACTAAGTACATATATATTACACATATGTGTATCCTGTGGGTAAATTATTATATGCATCTTAACTTAGAAAGTGTATACATATTATATGTAAAATAGTTGTATTATATATAGATATGTAGGATATATATGCATACATACATTAAAAGTTATACATACATACATATATATATATATATATATATGTGTGTGTGTGTGTGTGTGTGTGTGTATGTGTATATATAGACATATATATAAAGAATGTAAGGCTAGTATTCTTTTGTGTACGTATGTGTATTTGTTTTTGAGATTGAGTTTCTCTGTGTAGCCCTCCCTGTCCTGAACTCGCTCTGTAGACCAGGCTGGCCACGAACTCACAGAGACCTCCTGCTTCTTCCTCCCCAGTGCTGGAATTAAATGTGTATGTCACCACCACCTGGCCAAGGCTGTTGTGCTTTAGAAAGTATTTCTCTGGAGAGTCATACTCTGGCTATGACCCTAATTTGTGATACTCAAATATTCTTAGATATGTGCATATATAAACACATACACCCTGATGTACCAAGAAAACACTGTTCCTTGTGGTCATGTACAGCCTTTTCCCATCCTCTCTCCCAAAATGATCTCTGAGCCTTGGGAGGAGGATGTGTGGTGTATGTGCTCTATTTGAGGATGAGACTTCTTCAATCTCGTGTTTTCTACACCTTGCTCAATAGATCTCTATGTTGATCACCATCTACTGGAAATGAAAGTTTCTCTAATGAGGGCTGAGAAATGCACTAGTTAGAACAATATACCATTGGATGTCAGTTTAATGCTATGCTGATTTGGCAGAGTAATAGGAAGGGAGTTTCCCCCTAGGACTTGTCATAATGGTGCCAGATCGAGGTTTCAAAGTGTGGGGTAGGACCTAAATTCAATTGGAAAGTACTCGGTTACTACAAATAGGAAAGGACAAAGTCAATATATCTTTTAGTTGATAATATAATATTGTAGATTCTTGCTGGTTTTTATTAAGTACTTCAGTTATAATCCTAATGGTTATACTACACTGAACCAATTCCTTTTTCCTAATCATTGTAGAAATGGCTTTTGAAGAGGAGAGAAAAATACAGGAGTTATAAGAGGCTGTAAATGCTCAGAAGTCCTCCTCCTGCTTCGCAAAACGTTGTTCTCTGAAGGTAGTGGAGGAGCCACCATTGCTCAAGGCACCATAGGCAGGTGATTTTGTGCCGCCAAAACCTGTTACTACAGTTATCTCCTCAAAACTTGTATTTACAATAAAGAGATGAATTCTTGATACATTTGTTTTGTGTGCCTTCTGAGATTAAGATACATGTCTGATATCAAGGAAATGTCATTTAAACAGAACGACATTGTTTCCAGGAGGTAACACCTCTGCATTACAGTCAGTAAGCCCTGTGTGTTACAGTGACTTTCCAACTTCCATAGTAGGGTTACCCTGACCCACATGTTCAATTTTTTTGTCACCCCCTCATACTGTTCTCATCATGACTCTTAGCACATGCAAATTTACAAGAGAGACAATCTAACACCCTAAGGAGAAACAGTTGTTTTTTCTAAACACAGATGATCCCTGCCCCCCATACTCAGGATTTCACCCCAGCCCTGAACTTTGACAGAAACTTCATTTAAGACAACCCACAGGGTTCACAGGATACAAGCAATGAAATAATAACTAGACTCCTCTCAATTATTCTCCTTGCCCTCCCTTTCTGTGTGGAACTTTGGGGGACAGTTGTGGCATGAGCCAACAGTTAATCCTGTCATAGGTCTTAGGTTTTGCTGCCACCAACATCCTGTTATTACACACTTAGCCCCTCAGCCCTTGTATTTACAATATAGAGCTGAATTCTCATTATATCTGTTTCTAGCATCTTCTGAGACAGTTAAGGCATGTGTCTAAATTACCAAGGCAATGTCATTTAAACAGACAGCACAGATGTGACTTTTCTTGGTTCTGACAGTTCAGAGGACCTCTACATTCCTGGCAAACTTTTCCTCTCTTGTCCATTCTCCATCTGCGGCAGCTGCAACTACTCTAGACTGTGGCTTGCCATTTTTAAAATGAAATTAAATATTTTAAATAAAATGGAAAAAAAGCTAGCATGCAGTGGTACAGACAATAGGGTCCGTTCATGGGAAAAATGGGAATAGAAACAATGAGAGCTGAACACCATGGCCAGGACCTGTAATCACAGCACTTGAGAAGTAGATGTATGAGAATCAGACTTTTGTGGTCCTCCTTGGCTACACAGAAAGTTCAAGAACAGCCTGTGTGCACTACATGAGGTATCCATCTCACTTTTAAAAGTAGGGCTGGGAAATGGTTCAGTAGGGAAAGTGACAGCCCAGTCAGCATGAAGATGTGACTGTGATCCCCAACATAGATGTAAAAGCAATAGCAGACATTTAAATCTGGGTTCTGAGAGAGAGAAAGGGATTGTTGGCCATCCCATCTAGCTGTAACTGTAGGCTTGAGGTTTAGAGACAGAATCTGTTCCAGAAAAAGCTAACGTAGGGGTGGTTAGAGAGATGTCTCTACAATTAGGAGCACATGCTGCTCTTGCAGAGGGCCTAAGCTTGATTCCCAGCACCCACAACAGGCAGCTCACAATGGCATGTAACCTCAAGCACCATGGGATATGACACTCTCTTCTGCTTTTTATAGCCATCCACATACATGTGCACAAACCACACTCAGGCACACATATACGCACATAATTTAAAAATAAAAATCGAGTCTGATTGGCCAAGGACAAGGAAATGGACTGCAGACAGGAAACTGACATAAGGCTGGAACAAAGAAGTAATTTCAGGCAGGAATCTAAAGCTTAGGCTAGAACAAAGAAGTAGGCTTCAGGCATGAAAATGACTTTGGGCTAGGACAGGGAAGTAGGCTCAGATATTTCAGTCATCCTGATAAGCCCTTAGAAACAGTGATCACAGGAGTGTTCACAGAATTTTTGTTTATTGCCTTGCTTGTTCTTTAACTATTTGTGTTTATTGTCTTGCTTGTTCCTGGACTATTCGCATCTACTGTATTGCTAGTTCTGCAACCTAGAACTGACCTTAATACTTGCATGTAATTTAAACAGTATAAAAGCAAAAAAGAAGGAGGAGGATGGGATAGGTGAGTGGAGGGGGGATGGGGAAAGGGGATAATATCTGAAATGTAAATAAATAAAATATTGAATTAAAATTTAAAAAAATCATGAGTCTGGAGAGTATGCACTGCTCTTCCAGAGGACTCAGATGCTTGTCAACCTCCCTCACCACGGGTCTCACAACCGCGTCTAACTTCAGCTCCTGCTCCAGGGGAACATGGCACTTTCCCTCTGCAAACATCTGTATATACATGCACTTAAAATAACAAAAATAAATTTCAAAAATCTTACAATAATGTGGAAAGTGCTAGAAGAGTACACTCCATGTTGACCTCTGCCCAGCCTTGTGAACACATGGGTTCATACCTTGAATGTACATGTGTAAACACATGTACGAACTATATGTAAATAAAGTGAAAACTGCTTTTAAGTAAAAGAGAGAAGTCAACCAGGTACTGAGATTAATACACTAAGCTTTTATTACTTCTACTATAAATGTGCTTTTAAAAGCTATAGAAATTTATAACAAAGGAATTACAGGAACTCAAGAGAAAAGTGTTCACAAAGAATATCAAACTGCTTTTCCAAATAATAAATAAAAATTCTATAAATAAAAAATAACACAAGGGCTCATGATATAGCTCTGAAGAGAAAGGTTGTCCACATAGGGAGCACAACATGAACTGGCCCCTTCCCTTTAGCAATAAATAAATGAATTGAAAGGATATATCCTAGCAGCACTATTTATAAAGCAAACAAAAATAAAATCATTGAATAAAAATCACTGGAGTAACCAAAAGGAGAACTGGGTGATTTCGAAGATAGGCTAGTTGAGAGTATTCAGTCTGAGGAATGAAGAAGAAAATATTGAAAGTATTGGAAAGTGTAGGATTGGATGGGGGAGAATCTGGGGGAAGATGGAGGAGGCAAAACTGTGATTAGGATATATAGTATGGGGCTGGAGACATGGCTCAGTGGTTAAGAGCACTGACGGCTCTTCCAAAGGTCGTGAGTTCAATTCCCAGCAACCACATGGTGGCTCAAAACCATCTGTAATGAGATCCAATGCCCTCTTCTGGTATGTCTGAAGACAGCTACATTGTACTTGTATAAATAAAACTAAATAAATAATATTTTAAAAAAAAGGATATATAGTATGGAAAAATATTTTCAACAATGATAAAAAATACCTGACAAAAGGAAAAAATGTAGGAGTTCACAAGATGGCTTCATGGGTAAAGATGCTTGCTGCCAAGCTTGATATCCTGAGTTTGGTGCCCAGGCTCCACATAGTAAAAGAAAACTGATTCCCACAAGTTGTCCTATGGTTTCTTCACAAGTGCCATGGCATACACCCCATAATGTAAGTAAACAAATTATAAATTTAAAAATAAAAAAATGTGAAGACACCTGATTAAACTGCCAGAGAAATAGAAGGACTAGAGAAACGGGAAGAAAGAACACTTAGAGAAAAAAATGGCAAAATAATGAAATCTGGTAAACCTAGCAAATCCTACAGCACTAGCCATGGAAGAAAGCCTAACCACCTTAAAGCACCATAAACTTGATATTTACACCAAGACTCACCTACTCTTGATAAACAAAAAGACTGCTTTACAACATCAGCAAAGAAGAAGCATCATATCCAATGGCATATAGATATAATGAATAGTGCCCTCATGAAACATGGAGGACAGGAAGTACCGTGAACAATATATTTAAGGCAGTGAAAGGAATATTTAAAACCCTGTTGATGGATAATTCTATATGTGACCAAAACAATTATTCAAAAAGGGACAGAGGATGGTAGCATGTGCTATTATATATTAATGTTATGTTTTGGTATGTAAAATTCTGGAGCTGCCTAGACAACACTGTCTCAAAAATATTTTTTTTAAATAACAGACCTGGAATGACAATATGAGGTGAGAAATGGGCAGTTTTAAAGCTATATAGATTTCAATATATCATTTTCAATAATGTTTAATAAAAATTAGAGTATCCTAAGGAAAGGAAAACTCACTGTGATAAAGCATAATAGATGAACTGGATGTTCTAACCACAAGCAGCAATATACAGATTGTTTTCAAACATATGGGGAATATTCTCCAGGTAGATTATATAATAAAACAAAAAAACATATGTCAGTGAATTTTAAAAATTAAACTGGCCTCCTTGCACACTTCATTACTGTAGATGGCAATATTATAATTGGGGGAAAGAAATGGTTGTCTTTTTTTAGATAGAGTGTCATTTTCTATTTTTAGATGGTGTCATATGTCTCTCTCTGAATACAAACTCATTTTGTAAACTAGGGTGACTCTGGCATCTACCTCCTCACAGGCTAGCATTACAGGACTGCCACACACCATGCTGGCTTTATGCAACTCATAGGGATCCTGTGCCTTTAAATATGCTAGGTAAGGACAATGCAAACTGAGCTACAATCCCAGCCCAGAAATGTATGTCTTTACTAATTTGATCAGACTAGGGATAGAAAAAAATTCTCCTGTGCTTGACACAGCCATGTTGAGATTTAGAGCAAAGAGGGAAGAACTTGGAAAGATAAACATGTAGACTTTTTTGTGAGGTAGTTATCAGAACTGTGAGGTAAGTCTTATCCTAGGAAAACTCCAGCACCAGAACTCCAGGATATTCCCATCCCAAACAAGGAACAGTCTGGAAACATGATAGTAGTGTAGGGCCTTCTATTTTAAGAGTGACCAGAACATGTTGGGAAAATTTGGCTGCCTTGGGACGAGTCTGACCACATGCCAGCGAAGGGGCTGCTTGACTGACAGTTCTGGGATGGAGACCAAAGCATAAAAGCCTGCTCTTGACACTTTGATTGTTCAGAGAAGACATTAGAAGTGTGCGTGTGTGTTTGTGTGTGTGTGTGTGTGTGTGTGTGTGTGTACTCAAGACAAATGTGACGAAGCTCAGCACAGGTATGACAATTCTCATAGCTTTTACCAGCACTTAACAAAACTTGACAGTACTACTAACCTACCCCCCAACCCCCTCCCCAGTAGCCCTGGTGAAGATGAGCCCTCTGATCTGTCTGCTGAGCCAGCAGGCCCTGAAATTCTGCCCAAGCTTCTGTAAAGGCAGAGCATGGAAGCACAACAGACTCTATCTTAGCTATCCTTCTATTGCTTGAAGAGACACTACCATGAAGGCATCTTATAAAAGAAAGCATTTACCTAGTGGCTTATTTATAGTTTCAGAGGGTGAATCCACGCTCATCATGGCAGGAAGCATGACAATAGGTAGGCAGGCATGACACTAGAGCAGTAACTGGGAGCTTTTATCTTCAACAAGCTCTCAACAGAGGGGAGGGGTATTAACTGGTAATGGTGTGGGCCTTTGAAACCTGAAAGCCCATCCCCAACAACATGCCTCTTCCAACAAGGCCACACCTCCTCTAACGAGGCTATAGCTCCCAATCCTTCCCAAATACTTCTACCAACCAGGGACCAAGAATTTAAATATATGTACCTATGGGGAGCCATTCTCATTCAAACCACCACAGGATCTAAGTTCACTTTCTGTGAAAGTCCAAAGGAAGAGACCTCCTAGATAATTACACTGATTTAATTTCTTTTCTCTGCCAACCACCAAGGAGTCAATGTGGAGCACTAGACCAAGAGGTAATTCTACAAACTTTTTCTTCAAGGGCTCCAGAGTTACTGGGAGGTATTTTCTTACTCCCCTCAATTCGGCTCCTATAGTTGACCACCATTCCTTCCCTAGGAAGATAATTCACCAAGGTCAGAGGACTCAGCTGAGATGCAGCTTAAAAGGCCTCCTGAAAACACATCCCGCTTATAACAGCACCAAACTGCTCTCACTAGGGTACCTCAGGGCTCAATTCATAGCAACAGGTGATGCGCATGAAGCCAGAACATTACATCTATAACTGAACACGTAGTAATGTGGAACGAACTGGAAGAAATCTCTTCCAGGTCAAGGGTCACCGCTCTGTTCTATTACCGGAAATACATCGGAATTACCAGAGGTTCCAGTTCAGTCTACAGATGTAAACCTAAAATGGACAGCTCCCAAGGTATGGAGTGTTACAACATCAAGTACTTGTTTGTTCTGGGGTTGAGGGTGTCGGGAATGGTCAGTGTGTCACTGGGAATAGTGATTTAACTATTTCCGTGAGTGAAACGGATGTGGCCTCAGAGACATGTCCGGACAGGCGCCATGCGCTGCTGGCATCGCTGTGACTCCTTGCCTACTTTAGGCCGCGACGCCTGATTTTTCTCTATTTTCCCAACTGCAGGTATGAAGGTTTTGCCGGCTGAAGAGGAAAGAAATGAGGAAGATATAGGACAGGACGAGCTGGCATTGGGAGCCACAGCAGCACAAGGGAGAGGAGAAAACGAATTAAATGAAGAGGGTCCCGCCGCTGCTGGCGCCGCAGGCCTTGTAGATGAAGACATGAACAAGGAAGATGGTGGCGCCAACGGAGGCCAGAATAATGAACAGCAACTGAAGGAGCCGGTTCCTGAGGGCGCTGAGGGCGAGAGTGTACAGCCTGTGCCAAGGCAGGTGCCACGACGTCGATTGCGCCATAGATTCACCCAGTGGCAGCTGGAAGAACTGGAGAGCATTTTCCAGAGCAATTGTTTACTCAGCGTAGAAGCAAGGTGAGGAGACTGCCTAGCCTATTTGAAGGGAGCGCGTGCTGGCCTGTGGTGACCGTTGACTTTCTCCCTAGTCCCCAACAGGGCTTCTGTTTTGTTTTGTTTTGTTTTGTTTTGTTTTGTTTTGTTTTGTTTTGTT